TAATATTTAATTTTAAATTTCTACTTCCGACTGAATACAGTCCAACATTTGAATTGAATAAAGCTGACGCATAGACGTTAGTTAAAATATTCTCTACTCATAAGGTAATTTGAATTTCTCTATTATGTAATATATATATATATATATATATATATATATATATATATATATATATATATATATATATATATATATATATATATATATATATCATGTAATATATATGTATGTATATATGTATATATATATATATACATATATGATGTAGTAATATACATGCATACATATATATAGCGAATTTTCTAAAGAGACTAATGGACTTTTTATCAGTTTAAACGTTATTTTTAGTGGATATTCGTATTTGAGTAGACGTTCCGTTTATTTCTTTGTTTATTTTCGTCTACCGGCCTGAATGTTCGAGAGATATTAAAATCAGAGAAAAAATTCCGCACTCCTTTCTGATGATGGTTCTTGCCAGTCTAACTCTTGAACTTTTCTGAGAATTTGAATTCTGTATTAGAAATTGTCGCTCAACTTCTGGTTAAGTTTTCCAGCAATGGCTACCAAATAACCATGGCAACTAAACATCACATGCCAACCACAGATTGTGTCCATCATCTTTGATAGATTCCCAAACAGTCCTTCACAGTGCATGTTTTTTTCCAGCTTGTATTTAGCTCTTTTCTAAATAGTTGATTTTTTTATAGTGATGAGGTCAATATACAACTCTTTGACCCGTACAAGGGAACAGTGTCTAGTATTCGCCTAAAGTGTTGAACTTTCTTTTTTCTTATTCTTCATTTTTGATTTCCAAATAGTATTCACATTTTGCATTACTATAGACTGGCCCGGAAATTCTCCTGATTTAAATCCAATCGAGAATCTGTGGTTAATCTGCAAGGAACGACTTCGTGGAATGGACATACGAAGTACTAACATCTGCACTGGGTCATGTTTCATTGGGAAAATATTTTTTTAAAAATTAAATAATAACGGATTTATTTGTTTTGTTTCAATTAATTTCCTCAAGAGTGTAAATTGGTATTTACTGGAAATAGACTGCGATTTTGCACGCTATTTGGGTTTCAGTCTGTTAATCTTCAGTACAGACTAACACCGCCAACATAAAATATAATAAGGTCTCAGAACAGATTGTATTTTATGCTAGAGTATGTCTACATTGGTGTTGAAATAACCCTAATTGCTAGTTATTAAAAAAAAAAAACACACACACAAGGGGTCGAGATTTGACAATATGTTGAAAATTTATAAATACATCGACTGTATGCAATGTGTATGTTTTTAAAGACCTAGATGCACCTCTTCAAAACGTATGTCTGTGTCAATAGCAGGCAATGTACAGTTTTGTAACTACGTATACATAGGTTCACTGCAACGAAGGGGTTAATCATGGGAATCCCTTTGATGAAAACTTAAGGAAAATCGAAACAATAAAGAACACTTATACTCAGAATCGGAAAGAGAAAGTTGAAATCTCTTGGACACAAAATGTGGAAAGACGACTCGGAGAATTTGATACTCACAGGACATATCGAAATGGAAATGCAGAGGCAACGAAACACCTTTTTGATGAATTTGTGGGAAAAGATCTCTGAGCAAGGAGCGAGAGTCTTGGCAAAAGAACAAACGTTGCTAAGAGCTGCAAGCGATAGGAAGTCGTGGAGAGTCCTGATCACCCACGTCCTGATTAAAAAAAGGCACAGAGAAAAATATTTAAGCTGAATAACCTTTTGTAGCTGGAATCAAATTCCTTGGCATGTTGTTTTCAAAACGTTTGTTTGTGCATGCAGTGAAAGAGGAACTATGCAATCGCATCTCATTAGAAGATTGTGAATCGATTTCATTGTAGACGTTTCAATGCATTTTTAACTAAAACAGTGAAATTGGCGGTGCAGAGAATTCTGCACTTTTTTCTGTCTGTTTATTTTGCCGAACAAAGGTTTTTTTTTCTTCTATTTTGTTTTTCTCTTCACTCTTCGGCGAAACAACCGATAAAAAACGGGTCAATGAGTCAGATTTTGTTTGTTTCGGTTTAGAGAAAGAATCAGCATTTTAAGCATTTCACGTCAAGCAACGCGGGAGTGCCACTAGCATACAAGGGGTTACAGAGAATTGAGAACAATGTATAAATTGAATAAATCCGGCGAGAAAACATATCCTTGTCTTACACCCTTTCAATTTTTGTATATTTGCTGAACTCATTTTCTGCCCGCATGCATGCCTTTTCCTTTCAATACAGATACTTGATTATTCTAATATCCTTTCTGAATATGTTAAGGCTGCTAATCTTTGTGGCGTACTTTATCGAAAACCTTTGCGTAGTCTATAAAACACAGGTACACGTCCGTCTGCATTTGTATTGCCCTTTCTGGTAACATTCTGACCATTAATATCGCGTTCCTAGTTACAATGTTCTGTTCAAGACAAGAACAAGAATAATATCATTCTGACCATAAATACCACATTCCTTGTTGCTGTGTCTTTAACGAACCCAAACCGTTCTTGTACTATTTTTTTCGATCTGATTCTATTATTCATTTGTTCATCAGAATTCGGATGATAAATTTTTGTTATATGCCTTATTCGTCTGATTGTCCGATGAAGTTCACATCTACAAAGTTTTTTCTTTCTCTAATATCAGCGTTTCGACATTGGATTTTATGCATCCTGTTGATGAGCCTGATTTTTGTTCTATTATTTTTTTTATACATATATGATTTTTCGTTAAGCCATCCTCTTCAACCTATCTGTATTTCTTTTATAATTTCTTCATGCAGAGTCCTATATTATGTGTCGTACTTTGGCATTGTTTTTGTCTCCTTTTCATTTGGCCGAGAATTTCGTCTATTATCCATTCTGTTTTTTTATTTGCCTATTTCTCTTTGCGGTGATCTTGATTGCTGATATTACATAATGTGTCCAACTTCAAGTTACTATTCTCATTTTGACCATTGCATCTTCTTTTAACACTGTGCATAGATTTAATTCAAGAGTCTGATGTATTGCAATTTGTGTTCTAACTTGGCCATCTTCAATTTCCGTAGTATTGCGATATAGGTTCAGGATTATTCTAGTATCCTTCCCAAATATGTCAAGGATACATCGCAGTTTAAATCGATTTTCGTGAGGTACATTATCAAATGTCTTTGCATAATCTATAAAACACAGGTACACGTCCGTCTGCATTTGTATTGCCCTTTCTGATAACATTCTGATCATTAATATTGCGTTCTTAGTTATAATGTCCTGTTCAGGTCATACCTCCGGTCTGATTCTGATGCGCGCTCTAGTCATCCGAATTTCAGATGAGGAGTTTTGTTATATGGCGCATTAGGCTAAATAGATAGTGCTATTAAAATAGATCTGCTCAGCTCTTCCGGTATGTCGCCCCTATTGTAGATTTCAGTTATTATTTCCCTAATCTTGTCTATACCTAAATCATGTAAGGTCGTCAGCATCTCAATTACAATTCCGTCTGGCCCTTTCGCTTTGTTTCTGTTCAATTTCGCCAGTGCTGCTTCCATTTTGGTTTTTTAATATTTCCGGTCCAGTATTGCGTTTAAATTTAAAGAGTCTAGGCACCATAATGAAGAGCTCATCCGAACAATTACCATGAGTATTACCATGAGTATATATTTATAGAAAAGGGCAAAGGGAGGCAACTTTACAGGAGTGGGGAAATGCCCGAACCCAAGACGTCAAATCGGGTCCGATAATATTGCTGAGGTATATATGCAAATAAAATATCAGAGACAGAAAAATAGTAGGGATTAAGCCGTGAGATGGATTTATAGAAAGGATGAAATAGAGGCATTTGGATATGAAAAGACGTGTGTATTTACTGTTCGGTGTATGTAATCGTTAATGTGGCAAGGCTAGATAACCCTTACTCTTAATTAGTGAGTTCAATCCTGGCTGGGTGCCCTATAAAAATCAACATGAAACAACCAAGGAAAAGTCGACGTGTAAATACCGACGGGGAATATGAAGTTGGTAAACCAAGTTCAAAATCTGGATTTGTTCCGTTGACGTTTGCACTAAGGCCATCGAGAAAGGTATCAGTCCATCTCCACCCTATTCTCCACCCCTCATCTATGGGTTAAATTGCAGGTTAGAGTTGGTCTCTAGCTTTGTATGCCGACCAGTCTAGGGGAAGGAATACATTATATTCAAAACCACTGGAAAGCTAAAAGAAAAACACTCAATTTCCATAAAACTCATAATGATTCAGATATAATAAATTAAAAAAAACGTATTTGTGGAAAACCATGAAAGGACGTGGTGTGAAAAAATGTTTTTAATGAGAGTTGTGTGGGAGAGATATGTGCCTGTGTATGCAACATAAGTGTTTATCTCTATAGGAAGCACATTGATAAAGAAAAGCTCATGTGACTTGATTAGAAGAATCTCTTCTTTGGTTTATTGTCGTCTATCACCTTTCATCTCTTGTTAAAGTATCATCGTTACGATATAATTCCACTGAAAACTGAAGGTCTTCCTGCACTTCAAATTAAATATATCTTCTTTTATCTTTGAAAATTCATTCAGAACTACTTAAACGAATGCGTTCAGAAAATATGTCTAAACTTACTCAGAAACATATCTATATTTAGACGAGTATTTGAGTGTGAGTTTAATTTACCTGACTGAACTTTTCAGTTAAGTTAAAAGGCACCAAAGTTTGTTGCGTTATTTAATGTCGATTATCAATCTTATATGAGGAAACTCAAAAAAGAATTATTAACGGACAAGAGCAGATAATTCCGGTTTATGAAAAAATGGGACGTTACTCGGGTTTGTACGCCAGTCTGCAAGTATCCAACCGGAAGGTTTTTTGGAGGATGCAGGCGATATTTTCTCCGACCCATGAAAAGGGTATATATATATATATATATATATATATATATATATATATATATATATAGAGAGAGAGAGAGAGAGAGAGAGAGAGAGAGAGAGAAAGGAAGAGAACGACGAACAGTCTATAACAGACATCAAGAATAATAGAGAGAGATGAACGGAATACAAGAAATATATCAAGAGTGATAGATAGATAGATAGATAGATAGATAGATAGAAATGATGAGCTAATGAGCTAATTAGTAGCTAGCTAGCTAGCTAGATAGATAGATAAGATGAATAGGAAACATTCCTCAGAGAATGAGGTATGGAAAAGAATAAATTCTGTTATTTTCCTTTTGTGTTGTTTGATTTTCATTGGTCAGTCACGTTTCACGTTCATTTGACTTGTTAAACAAACGTTACCATAATTTTTGGCGTCCTGAATACAAGGTGAGACGACAAGAAATTAACGGATTCCAAGCCTAATTGAAAAACCGTGAATATTTCTTTATGTATGTAAGTGTATAAAAAATCTAGTTTGCTTATGTGGTGTTCAGGTGACAATATGTATTCGTATGTGTGTATAATCTAGTATGCATCATGTTTGATAGTTTTTCGCATGTTTATTTTGGAACGATTTTACATACATACCGTTTGTTTTAGATAAACGTACGTAAGATTCTTTAAGAATGGATTCAATAAAGGTTAATAAATAAATATAATAATTTTGAAGTGTGTTTATAATTTGTTCATTGTCTTACGAGATAGTTTGAATGGTTGTCTAAACGTAAATCTATTGTGCATTCAAACAACATTTTTAGTTTACTTTCGTGCGGTTAGTTTTAGACGCACTGGAGATCTTTTTTTGTTTTTTGACTATATTTTTGAGATGAGGTATTATGTACATTATTTACATTATTCGGACTATTGTCCTCATCTTGTCATATTTATTACAACGTTTCGGCCCTTCAGTATCTGTCTATATTTCTGAGATGAGGTATTATGTACACTATTTACATTATTCGGACTATTGTCCTCGTCTTTGTCGCCAAATTTATTACAACGTTTCGGCCCTTCAGTATCTGTCTATATTTCTGAGATGAGGTATTATGTACACTATTAACATTATTCGGCCTATTGTCCTCATCTTTGTCACCATATTCATTACAACGTTTCAGCCTTTCCGTATCTGTCTATATTTCTCAGATGAGGTATTATGTACACTATTTTCATTATTCGGACTATTGTCGTCATCTTAGTCGCCATATTTATTACAACGTTTCGGCCCTTCAGTATCAGTCTATATTTCTGAGATGAGGTATTATGTACATTATTTACATTATTCGGACTATTGTCCTCATCTTTGCTGCCATATTTATTACAACGTTTCGGTTTTTCAGTATCTGCCTGTATTTCGGAGATGAGGCATTATGAACATTATTTACATTATTCGGGGAATTTTCCTTTACGATCAAATTCATATAGATCCAGTCATTGCTTACAGCCAATCTGTCGAAGTGTAATATGACTGCCCGAACTGTGACAAAGTTTTCTAATTTTTCCATACAGCTGCATAGGGAAGTGTTTTCATGCCTTTTTAAAATATATTACTTCAAAGGGAATGAGTCCATTGTACCTTTAAGCGTTCGAGCAAATGTGCCTTTGTAGCAGGTTTATCACAAAAGTCAACATAGAAATAAAACGAAAAAAAAAGTAAACTGCTGCACACTTCATTTATGTGGAATGTTCCTTGAAGAAGTGGATAATCATAACTTTCCAGAATTTACTATCTTTTTTAGCTATAAGTAAATTTTTTTTTATCCTTCTAATTCTCTGTTCTTTTTTAAAAAAAAACTAATTTCATCCTAAGCAATCCAATAATGTCACGAAAAACGCCAGGGGTTACCGTTTCGTTTTTCGGGAACGAAGCTCCTATTTTTGTAAGCAACACCAGATTTTACATGAACAGTTTAAAGTTTTCTTTATATAATTTTCTTCATTACAGTGTGATTTTTCAATTTTTGCAAAAACTATCGGCCTTTGTAAATGGTATTCATTTTGCAATTATAATGTTAATCTCGGTACATTTCTTGAGGCTTTATTGTTTGATTAAATTATTCGTTTTTACGTCTTATCCCCCCTTCGCAGATTATTTAAAGCCAGAAAATATTTTATAGATTGCATTTTTTTAAAACAATAATTATTTAGTGATAAAAGACTTAACAATTAACCCATAATTTGGGGGTAAAAAGGAGGATTCATATCTTTCTTAAGGATATTTGAGTGTAAGTAAATCCCATGAACCCAACGGTAATTGTAACTCGACTTTCCAATTACCAATTCCGAGCTATTACCCATTAAACCACTCGCCTTGGAGTTTCAGTAATATGGTTAATAATTTGAAATTTGGAAATATAATGACCTTTTTAATTTCTCCCGTATTCACTAAGTCTCTGTATTGAGTGGCACTTAAGTCTTGTATTGAGTAAATAATAGTAAAAAAAAAAAAAAAGTCTTTACCTTTATGTCAGGACACCCAGCCCTAGACGAGCGTTTTTGCTATATCTTTATAACTTTTTTTCTCAACAATCTGCACTTAACTTTTTAAAATTTTTCTCATATCTCAATTTATTTTTTTATTTTATTTTAATGTCACTTCAAAGATTAAAAACTGACAAGTCTCCCAACATGCTTCAGTCGAAGGAAACTCTGTATGGCACGAGATAAAGCTGTAACATAGACGTTATCTGCACTTCAACCTCAATCCGGGTCAGAATGAGTCGACAAAATGTGATCAGCGTGTTTTCTCGAAAGGTTCTTAGTCTTAAACAACAATGCCCTTTAAAACACTTGTTTCATTTCATGGCTCCAACCCAATAGCTATTTAAAATAAAAACATCCTGTCACAGAATTCCGAATAGGTACTTCAAATTCCTTGTCAGTTTTATCAAATCAGTTACAGTGGCATATAAACTGGACTTTGAACTTTTATCTTTGAAAAGGTTTCAAGCGAGATTTCTAGGTATTTATTTTGTCACAAATGAAAAAATTATCAGCCATACTTAAATTTAGAGAACGGATATCTAGTAAATTATTTTAATTACAAAATATTTCATTAATAATTAGCATCTTTAGTTTTACCGCGAGATGCACAATAAAAAGCTTTTGGGTACATTCTTTAAAACACCTGTTCCCGGACGGTCACCGAAGTTAAGCAACGGGGACTCAGTACCTAGATGGCAGACCGCTTCGGAATATCAGTTGTTGTAAGCTTGGATGTGTGAATGGTGCAATATATAATTGCACGGAATTGGTAATCGAAGAGCTGAGTTCAAATTCCAGTCTGGTTTGTTATATTCACTTACTAGCAGGTAACTTTGGGAAAGGTATGAATACACCTTATTTCCTCTAGTTATGAGTTAATTGGTGAGACTTGTATCACTAAATTATTCAGTATTGCCTCCCCCACCCCGTCAAAAAAATCTAAAAATATTTTCTGGTTTAAACAAGATGCAACTTGTTGATAAACAGTAGAAACGAATCAATTAACACAGGGAGCATCAAACTCTCTAAATTAGTAAAGGTTTGAGGGTCTACATACTTTAGGATCTGATTCGGTATTTTTTCACAAATGTTTTGTTGCTTTAAACTGTTTTTTTTTTTTTCAGTTGACCGTCCTGGGTATGACGATGAACTACATCCGCGTCCTGGGTATGATGATAAACTACATCCGCGTCCTGGGTATGACAATGAACTACATCCGCGTCCTGGGTATGGCGATGAACTACATCCGCGTCCTGGGTATGACAATGAACTACATCCGCGTCCTGGACATAAAGATAAACTACATGCGCGTCCTGGGTATGACGACGAACTACATCCGCGTCCTGGGTAAGAAGTTAAGCTACATCCGCGTCCTGGGTATGACGACGATCTACATCCGCGTCCTGGGTATGACGACGACCTACATCCGCGTCCTGTGTATGACCATAAATTACATCCGCGTCCTGTGTATGACGACGACCTACATCCGCGTCCTGGGCATGAAGATAAACCACATCCACGTCCTGGGTATGGCGATGAACTACATCCGCGTCCTGGGTATGACAATGAACTACATCCGCGTCCTGGACATAAAGATAAACTACATGCGCGTCCTGGGTATGAAGACAAACTACATCCGCATCCTGGGTAAGAAGTTAAGCTACATCCGCATCCTGGGTAAGAAGTTAAGCTACATCCGCGTCCTGGGTATGACGACGATCTACATCCGCGTCCTGGGTATGACGACGACCTACATCCGCGTCCTGTGTATGACCATAAATTACATCCGTGTCCTGTGTATGACAATGAACTACATCCGCGTCCTGGGCATGAAGATAAACTATATCCGCGTCCTGGGTATGGCGATGAACTACATCCGCGTCCTGGGTATGACGAAAAACTTCATCCGCGTCCTGGTTATGAGGATAAACTATATCCGCTTCTAGCTATGACTATGAATTACATCCGACAGCAAGGCCTTTGATCAGGAGGCTTTGAAGAGCTTAGAACCACCACTTAATTACTGGTGTTCCCATGTCCACCTTGACCCGGGTGGTAGCAGCTGTTAGAGTCCCAACCACGGACAAATAGTTAACCCTCAAACTGGGGTCAAAACACTATGAAAGTGTAAAAATAGGTTTTAATACCAGAAATATGTTTTTGTAAAAAAAAATTCTCAGCAATAAATTTTTGAAGAAAAATTATTACCAGCAATACATTATTAACTGCAATACATTTTTGAAAAAAAAATATCACCATCAATGCATTTTGAAGAAAAAAAAATATTACCAGCAATAAAAATCTTGTCGGTATTAAATAAGCCATCGAGGTTGATACGCCGTAAAACAAAACAGACCAATCCAGTTGCTGACTAATGAGTTGAGTATTTTACTCTCAGTGATAGAGGTTCATTTTTGGCCGCTTTGCTTTTTTGTTACTTGATTCCTGCGCACCCTCAAAAAGTCATATTCAGCACCAATTCTATTTTAAACGAACCAGTAACAATTTACCCGTTTCATGTAATTCATTATAAAGAATTAGTTTTCGAATCGCAATGCAAACGGAAATCATTTTCTCTAGAAAATTCCGTTTAGGTTCTAATGCTGAAGTTTGTCTTGAATATACGAACGACTGTTTTCGTTGTCGATGTTCCTTGTAAATAAAGTTTTCATTGCCAGCGAATATCTCGTCCTACAAAATCGTTTTTCTGTATCAAGAAAAAAATATATATTTGAACACTGAGTGATATGCATTTCAGTATGCTCGCATCGAAGCCATTTTCCTAAATTAAAATAATGTGCCCAAGGGATAGATTCTTTTCGCACGGTTAATCATGTGATTTTTATAACTACTATTTTATATCGATGAGGATATTCAATATTGTAATTGAGAAGACACCAAGATATGCTCGTGAGTTCTTTTTTTGTATGTGTTGAATTAATAAATTTATAAATGTTACCAAGAAATAAAACATCAATAATTTTGAGACAGTTAAAATGAAGGACGGAGTTGTTATAAAAGATTTCTTTAAGATGATTTTTTTGTCTATATTTCTGAGATGAGGTATTATGTACAGTATTTACATTATTCGGACTATTGTCCTCATCTTTGTCGCTATATTTATTACAACGTTTCGGCCTTTCAGTATCTGTCTATATTTCTGAGATGAGGTATTACGTACACTATTTACATTATTCGGACTATTGTCCTCATTTTTGTCGCCATATTTATTACAACGTTTCGGCCTTTCAGTATCTGTCTATATTTCGGAGATGAGATAACTGGCCAGGAAACTCTCCTGATTTAAATCCAGTCGAGAATCTGTGATCAATCTGCAAGGAACGACTTTGTTGAATGGACATACGAATTGCTAACATGTGCGCTGGGCCATGTTTCTTTCGACAAATACGAACAAAGAGTAAATAATGACGTAATTATTCGTTTTGTTTCAATTAATTTGCGTAAGGGCGTAGTAGTTTCCTTAAAGACAACTGATATTAAGCTTTTTATTCCATTTTTCTTGTTTTCGTATCTTACGTGTATTTCTTTTTATCTGCATGTAAAGTGTATAAAAATAGTCTAACTGTTTTATATATCCGAACTCTTTCGGTTATAAGCCATTATCAAGAGTGTTTTAACTAAATATGCAGGTTTTTATGTATGTGTATATACAATGATGAGAATGAATTTTTTTCCAAATACGGTTAGTACATTTTAGCCGTGTTCATAGTTGATATTATTGACTGTGAAAGAATATGATAAAAATTACTATTAAGGAGAGAGGACGATAAAAGTATAAGAATTAAGAAAACAGAAGATAACGATTGATATTACGTTTAAATTTTTGAGTATGAAAGCTAACTGAGAAGCAACAAGCCGGAAGAGAGTTCCACAAGCAATATGTGAGATAGAAAAAACTACTAGTAATAAACTTACGTTTACATCTCGCCATTTCAAGTGTAGGATGATAAGATCTGCCGTTAATCTAGTACTGCGATTAAATTCGTAAAGTTATCAGAAGTTCATCAGAAAAATTAGCATGAAAGTATTGACAGAAAAGTCATAGGGAACTTACGCTACGGCGGGGAAAGAGACTGAAGCCGAGATGCCTGGTCAGGACCAATAACATTGCAGAGTCTTCTTTGGATTTTATCAAGAATCTCTAAATACATAACAGAAACACCGGACTAAAAGAGTAAATTTATTCAATAAAATCACCACTGGCTTCAAGCATGACTTTCAGACGACTTCCGAATTTCCTGCAACTCTGGACGGACTCCTTGTTTAAGTTGGTGAATGCAGCCATAATCTTTGCTTTCAGTTCACCTAAGTGTAGAAGGAGTTTTATTGGTCTCTCGATCAAACAGCCCCCCACACGTTAAAATCAAGACTGCCGAAGTCTGGGGAGATATGTGACCAGATGCATGGGTTGCATAAATTGTCTGTCAGCACTGACTGGGTCCTTCTGCATTTGTGGCATTGTGCAGAGTCATAGAGTTTTCCAGCAGCCACCCATTTGACTCAGGGCAGGACTAACTCCTCAAGACACTTAATGTAGGCCTTTGTGTTGAATCTGAGACCCTGTGGGAAGATAAATGAAGGCATAACGTCGCCATTACTAGTGACCACTCCAAACACCTTCGTAATCACCATTAGATTCATCCAACTCTTTCGGAATCCTCTGCACTGTCATAACATTGCCTACCAAACACTCTGAAATGTCCCTATTGGAACTTCCGATCCGGATGTCTAGTAGTACAGCATGCCCTTTTCAAATTTCTGGCGGAGTTAATTGCTATATGGTGCTGTTTTTCTCACAGATCGTACCCAAATGACTCTAATTTAGTCGACAAAATAAAAAATAAACTACGCGCATGCGCGAAATTAAAATTATAAAATGTCGACAATTTACCCATGAAACCCACTTGAAAATATATTTTCAATTGAGCACTGTTGAATGACAAGCTAATTCGAAAAACAACGGTCAATTGCGTAAAAATGCGAAGCTCTTCAGTAAAATCAATGAAGCACTTTGGCTGCTAGGCGCAATTTACGCTTGTAAAAACAATACGCTAGCTTTGGCTGACTCTTCCTGTCGAGTGAAGATAGCTAGAAGACTGACACCAAATCGGTTGGGTTTCGATCCGGGCTTGAGGCATTCGGTTGTCTAGTCGCACTGAGGAGCTGTGATACAGCGAAACAGTACTGTCTGCGAATGACATATATATAAATATATATATATATATATATATATATATATATATATATATATATATATTAAGACATTTTTATGTTTATAATTTCTTTTTGTAGATACAAATATTTAAGTAAATGCTCTGTTTTATAATAAACAACATTTACCGGCCTGAATGTCCGAGAAATTTTCATAGAAAATATTCGTCCTCCGAATATATATAGTTTATGTAAATTTAAGTAATCCGTATGGGTAGACCTGAGGAGGATGATATCCAGAGAGCTCAATGTAAAATTCAGAGCGGATATGTTTGAATAAAAGACAGACCACGTTAAGATTCCATGTAATAAGTTATTTCGCCATAACCCTTTAACAGGGTTCTGGATCATCAGACTTTACTTCCAAAAGCTGAAATGAAAAGTGAAAAGAAATTCACACGTTTTTACGGACCTCATCAAGTATACACAAAGTTAACGAATATATATATATATATATATATATATATATATATATATATATATATTATCACAGATAGAAAACGTGAAGCACTTGATAATAATAAAAAACATCACGAGAATGATCATCCAAAATATCTTGAAGACTTCTGACAAGTTATGGCACAGCTACGGGATCACTGGGAAAATCCTGTTAGATATAACGTCTTCCTTCTCTAATGTCTTTTGAAGGTCGTAGTTAATTGTTAAGCTTCCTAGTCCCATAGATTCAATTCAAGAATCTATTGAGGTACTGTCTTCACTCCTAAGATTTTTAGGCTTTATATTAACAACCTGCCTAAGAACATTCTCAGATCATTGGAAAAATGTAGAAAATGATTTTTATTGCATTTGAGAATTTTATTCGGTTAATTAAAATTATAAAAACATTCCAATGAGTATGACTTTTTATCACTAAAATCATTTTAGGGTGATTTTGAGCATTTGATTGGGGGATGTAACATTATAAAAAGGTTCCCGGGAGTATGCTTTAGGTTCACTAAAAATCCTTTTAGGTGGCACTTATGCTTTTTATTGGGTGAATTGACAGTATAAATATGAATCTCATGTGTATGTTTTACAATGAATAAAAAAAAAATTGTCAGTCCCTCAAGCATTGTATTAGGTGAATTAACAGTATAAAAAATGGCACTAGTAAGTATGTTTTATGTTCAATAAAAAACTTTTTTGAGGCCCTTATGCATTGTATTGGGTAAATTGACAGTATAAAAATGACTCATGAGTATGTTTTATAATCAATAAAAAACATTTTCCAGGCCGTAATATATGGTATTGTTGAATTAACAGTATAAAAATGACTCTCGCGAGTATGCTTTAGGTTCGCTAAAAATATTTAGTGTGGCCCTTGAGCATTGTATTTGGTGAATTAACCGTATAAAAACGTTTATTGTTGCAATAAATCATTGCAATGTGTAAAAATCTATAAGACATAAAGTCTTAAAAAACTCTTTGGCGTTAAATCTTATGCATTTCATCTCTTTAACATTTCAATAATCTTTAGCCGTCAATATTTCTCTTGCTTTTTTTCCTTTTTTTGCTTCTTTCTTGCTTGTGTTGCTGATGGGATATTCTCTACGAAATAATCTCCATGAGTCACAAAAGAGCTTCGTGTTGATAAGTAGAGAGGTTTGTAGATAAATCTTGTTTTTTTTTATATTTTTATATTTTGGTTGTGAAGGGTTGACGGTGGAGTCGGTTAATGGGAATGTAAGGGTCGTTGAATGAATGCTTGGGCCCCCAAATGAGAAGACAATTTGATTGGCAGATGAAGGGAAGGGCATAGCGAAATATCGGTCATCGAAGGAAACATGGGCAACACGGGGAGGACAAAAGAGAAAGAAAAAAGAATAAAATAAAAGAAAGGAACCTAAATGAATGAATAGATGCGTCAGATTGTTAAAAAAAAAAAAGAATCTTACAGCGTAAAAAAAAATGGTAAAAAAATAAACCACATTTTCGTTCAAGTTGAATGAAACCAAGAGTGAATGAGTCAATATTAAGAATTTATGAACTAAACTAAATAACGGTGTTTTATTAAACAAAACATTTATCTTTTCCCATCTTTCTCGTCTACGTTGTCTTTATTTAATTCGTAGAAACCACACGACGTTTCAACACAAAGCAAACAATAAAGAAACAAATGTTTCGACAATTCACTAGGACAGGCGTTCAACTAACATTTCAACAAATTCTCCATTCTTGATCTTCACCCCACCCTTCTAACCATTTAGCCTCATTTTCAGTCCCTTCATTGCCGTCCTCTCACCTCTGACCCTCAGTCTACTCACCCTCAATCAAACTGGTCTCATCAACCACGTTCCCTTATATTTATAAGCATTTACTAAATTTTCTTTTCTATCCATTGAAACCATAATACTCGGGCGCTCACAGATGATGACACACACACGTGAAGCAGTAATTATTATTTATTTTCTACATTCCGTGTTCTCTTTATGACATTGGCGATCATGGATCTCCACAATTTCCTATCCGTTGTAGCTCTTTAGTGTGGTTTCCGTCTCTCTCACATCCATTCACATGCACTCATTAGCTACGTTACTTGTTGTCAACCTGCCTTCAATATGACCTGTGAGTAGCAATTTTTCCAAGCCTTGCTTTGCTCAATACGTGCCCTAAACGTTACAACTGTCACTTTCTGATTCTAACTTTAGATATCTTTTTTGTTACCATTTACCTTAAAGATTACCAGTTATTTAAATGCACCGGCCATGGCATCTTTCTGTAGAACAATATCTCTGTTGTCCCAAGAGTCTTTTGCATGTCTAAGTAAATCGCCCAGCATTCATTGCCATAGAGGACTATTGATATTTACATAGCAATTCGGCATATTTAATTGTTTCCGTTAGTCTCATCTCTATGGCTGAACTAGATTAGGTGTACTGTGGCCTAAAAAGTGGTTTACCTAATCTAAAAAAAGAATGGAGGTTCGATTCCACTCGACAATTTTGGTAACACTACAATCATTTCTTGGATTAGCGAATATTATAATATTTATATGCCAGAGATGTGAAAATTGCGAACATCTCTGAATAATTTACTTAAAAGGGGTACGAAATGGAAATTGTCGGCGGAATGTGAAAAAGCTTTCAAAGAAATAAAAAAAAAATTACTAAGTTCAGAATTATTCCTGACACATTATGACCCGCGCCTACAGGCAATATTAGCGGCGGACGCGAGCGAATACGGCATAGGAGCCGTAATAGATCATAAATTCGAATACAGCGAAATCAGTCGCCCATGCTACAAGATATCTGACAAATACGGAAAAATGCTGAAGTTAAATTGAAAAAGAGGCGATTGCTATAATTTTTGCTGTAAAGAAACCCCACAGAATGATATTAGGAAGAAATTTCATACTGTAAACTAATCATCGTCTGTTGTTATGTATATTCGGTTCCAAGAAATGGATTTTCACATATACTGCAGACTATAGCGTTGGTCTACGATTTTCTTGAACTATAATTTCAAGATGGAATTTCTATTGTCAAAGAAATTAAGACACGCAGATGGAATATCCAAATTGATATCGAAATGTAAACAAGATTCTGAAGATACCGTGATTGCTTCATTGGAATCCGAAAGCAATATTAAAAGCCTGGTGTGTAACACTATTAAAGAATGGCAGGTCACGAAATGGAGTGAAACTAAAATGAAACCTGCTAACAAAAATACAGCATTGTTTATTTGTGATGGAGTACTTTGTATGAGGATTGTTGTAACTCCATTATCACCACGAAAAGGATTTTAAAACAATGCTACGTAGGACATCCGGGAATAGTGAGAATGAAGTCCTTGATGAGAAGTTACGTGTATTGGCTAAAGTTGAATAAAGATATCCAAATTACAGTTAGAAAATATAATGGTTGTAATTCAGCAGCAAAATCGTCACCTATAAATTATCAGGCATGGCTGAACACTGACAAATCGTGGGTAAAACTACATATGGACTTTGCTGAACCACTAAATGGTTCATACAATTTAAATATGGTCGACAGCTTCACAAATTGACCCTAGATATTAAAGTGTAAACGACCGACTATTGCAATAACGATTAAATTCTTGTATTAACTTTTTGCATGGTTTGGAGTACCTGACAGTGTTGTATCTGATAATGGAACTCTATTTCTCGTCAGTTTAAACATTTCTGTAAGAGCCACACAATTGAACATTTGACAACGCCTATTTATCGTCCGAGGTTGAATGGTCAAGCGGAACGCTTCGTTGACACCTTCAAAAGAGAATTAAGAAAAGCAAAAGACTTGGAAATTAAAGAAACGACATTACAAGAATTTTTGAGCGTGTATCGAATGACCTCAAATACAAACGTCACCGCGAAAATATCACCTCATATTTCTTAGAAAATTTTATATCCATTTTTGACAACTTACTGTCAGGGAATAAGAAATTTCGACAATTCCAACCTACCAGATCATTTAAGATCAGTAATAAAATTTTCTTGAAAAGCTTTAAGGTCGGAATAGAAAATTGGCAGGAAGGAAAAATCATTCAGCACCTTGGTAGTATAGTGTACATTGTCGAATGTGGACGATTTTGTCATAAGAAGCATTATTAATCAATTGAGGTCTAGATATACACAGAATAATCAACCAGTACAATTTAATTTATCGATGGACATACTTTACGATACTTTTGAAGTACCTATTCCTAAAAGTGAAATTAAAATACAACGTCAGTGTAAGCGAAAACGTAATCCGACTGAAACGCTGGAAATAGACCTATGTCGGAACTAAGGAAATTGCATATCTAAAAGAGGGTTTTGTGGAGACGAACACACCCCGCTCCAGAAAAGGACTTGGGCTCGTCCAAATACATATAGACTTACGCTGAGAATCGTCAGAAGGAGTAAACAAGTGGAGAGGGTTATCTGCTGACTACCGATTTCAATAAGACTACATCGACTCCAAGCGACATACTTCTACTGGAAAAGGTATCGACTAATGAAAGTGCATATCTAAAAAGTGGATGTTGTGGAGATGAACAGACCCCTCCAGAAAAGGAGTTGGACTCGTCCAAATGCAGATAGACTGACGCCGAATATCGTCAGTAGAAAGAGTACAATTATAAATAATAGAGAGTTAGAGATCTAGCTTATATGCTTACCATTTGTTTCAGCAAGACTACATCGATTCCCAGCGACATACTATTACTGGATTGTGTTATCTTTATTGAAGAGATAACAGAATGCCAAAAAAATGAGTAAAAACATTAATCGCAGCTCCTTGTCTGTCATCTTTAATGAAACTAGTATAAACGATGGGTTGCTGCCCAAAAATAAATATATAAGGCATCTGATGAAGCGTTGATGAAAGAAATCAAATTAAAACAAATAAAGGGGAATATGTCGATGAAATAGGTATTTATATTTGGTTTATGAATGATCTTGAACAAAACTGAACATTCTTTACCAAGTGTTCCAAGAAATAGGCCTTGAAATAAACCAGTCCAAGACAGAAACAATGATTTGGAATTGGAATGGTTGCTGTGACAACGCATACATTTGATTCACCATAGAAATCTGAGATTATTAACTAATAACCATTTCAAAATCTTTCTAGGGTGAAGGAAATCGAGGCAAACTCCCGGCATCGCAAATATCTTGGTAGTATTTGTAATATTCCTAATAAATCGACTGCCACCTCCCTTTGACATTGTTAGTAAGTGAACTATAGAAAATGTGGGAATATGAAATAATAAAAACTTCAAATATCTGAGTGTAGAAATTTTTTTTAAACAAATATAGTGTACGGGATAAAGAAGATGAACATAGAATATTCGGCGCTAGGGCTAGTTTTGTCCAACACTACGGGATGTTAGGAAACCAATTTATTAACTTAAAAAATCGAAACATGTTCTTAAATAGCCTCGATAGATCGAGACTTCCATATGGATATCATGCATGGCGCCCAACCTATTCAAAAATGTTTGAACAGTCAATTGTATACAACATCTTTCTCCGATTAATGCTTAAAGAGGCTTTGAACGAAAGGCCCCTGTAGGTTTTAGTTGAGACCATCTTTCATCGATCTTTTGTGACCTAGCGTTAAAGAATCCCAAAGAAAGAACTTTACCAAATACCAGAATCCATATCTTAATGTGAGGTGTGCAAATTCTGATTGATAAAGACAAACATTTCCATTTTGTGTAATATTAATTAAAAAGAAAAGTAATGAGGCTTTCCAAAGCGTGACTCATGAAAATGGCGATGAAAAAAGCAAGTGGACTGGGGCGATGCAAAAAGAAGTAAACAATCTAAAATCGGCTTATCAAGCAAAATTTAGAAGAAACAAAGTCTCAAAGAAAACATGGCGTAGGGGGAAAATACAGAAGAAAATATGAAATTAATCGGATTTAAGGAAGAATTCTCTCTACTTTCGCCATAACCAGGGAGTCCTTTTCAGGTAGCAGATAAACTTTATCCATCCATATATATATATATATATATGTATATATATATATATACATACATATGAAGAAATATAGTTTTAAGGTGTGCTATATATATGGGATAAAGTGCTCAATATAAGAGATAGAGCGTTTGTAAATATAAAATTGAACATAGAAGTCAACACTTAGAGGCGACAGGCTGTTCCCTGCTAGATTGCAATCGTCAGGCCACTGACGATTGCAATCTAGCATGAAACAGAAAATGGCGATTGAAATTGCACTTAAATTTTGGTAACAGGAAAGAAACCGTAAGTGAGTACGAAAAGCGAGGAATGCTAACCATTCGCATAGAACC